GGAGAAACTCCACCCTTCTTCTCTGTCACAACAACAACAACAACAACAACAACAACAGCAACAGCAACAACAACAACAAACAACAAGCACCAAACAGCAACAACAACAACAACAACAACAACAGCAACAACACCAACAACAACATCAACAACAACAGCAGCAGCAGCAACAACAACAGCAACAACTACAACAGCAACAATCAACAATTAACAAACAACAAACAACAAACAACAAACCACAAACAACAACAAAAAAAACAACAACAACAACAACAATAACAACAACAACAACAACAACAACAACAACAACAACAACAACAACAACAACAAGAACAAGAACAACAACAACAACAACAACATAGCTATCGTTCTCAGATGTTGTTTCTCTCAATTCAAGCAGTCAGCTGTTCTGACCGAAGACATCAGAATTGAACACTGCGCGAGCGTGCTCTGCGCTTGGTGGGCGTATTGCCGAGACCTGCACTCAAGTGAAACTGAAACAAGCTGACTCTGCTCTAAGGACATAAATCGTTCAGAGGTGAAAGCTTTATAGTTACGTGCTCAGGTGAGAAGCTGTATACAACCCCCGACACCCTCAGTGTGAGCCAACGCGTCCGTTGCTCACGAACCTAAGATTGCTGGGTCGTACTCGAAGTAGCAGGCTACTCCGAGCCGGCTCCCTGATTGCCAGTCTAGTGGCGTCCCACACTTGGTCACTCACAATCGAAGGCGATGGGCCGTAGAGACAGATGAGGCAGTGCTACAGCACCGCCAAGGTGGCGCTACCCAAGCTGCAATGAAACGAGCTTAGGGAAAAATCTGCCGCTGAAATACATTTCACCGAAGCTGCAGCTAACACCTAGTGCAAATACCAACTGCTTTGACACCACCGCGCAGCACGTGAGGCCAGGGCGACAATTGTACCTGTCAAGTACCTGTCAAGTCGTGTAGAAACGCAAACGTATGGCAGTATTGGGATCAGCAGCACCTGTTGCTCACACTACATTCTTGGTCTGGCAGCGGTGAAGAAAGTGTGAGGTCCGTCTCGCATTGACATGAATGCGAGAAAGAGAGAAAATGCGGAGCGGCTGCAGTGCGTCACCACTTTAGGTGCACAGCGGCATAGGGGTGCAGTAGGCTGTGCCTCGAGGCTTCAAGGCTGTGCCTTTTAGCGCCAATTGCCCGAGCCTTGTTAGGAGTCATGAAAATCCCCCTCAGAAAACTCCTCCTCCTCGGAGCCCCATGACCACTGTTGAGGCTGGCAATGCCAGCTCCACGACTCCCAGTCCCATGAGTTCCACTGCGGGTCTTTGTGGCCGGGTTCATGGCGTCGATCCTGAGAGGATGAGGCCGCCTCATCCTTTTGACGCTTGGCCGTTGTGTGATGCCACCACTGCTGCTGCGCCCGCATCTGGCGATCGTAGTCGAAGGCCCCAGGGCGATAGGGAGCAGCAGCGTCATGGACGATACGAATCCCGATCTCCGGCCACTTGCGTCGAATCGTTCGAGAGGCGAGGCCAGCCGCTCCAGCAGCATGATTGTAGTAAGCAGTAATCGTGGAGCAAATGAGGTCGTACTTACCCCAATCCCGGCACAAGCGATTGAATTCCTCATGCTGGGTCCACATGCGCTGGAACAGAGAGCCATTCAGGCCATGGACCTTGGTAGGTGTGGCCATCTCGAAATAGTCTTGGCCTTGTCCAGTGGCTACGGTGATCTTGCCCTCGCCAGTTAGGACAGGCGACACTGTCATGGCCAACTCCCAAGTGAGTCCTGAATCCGTGCTTAATCGAAATCGGAAAGAGACGAGGTACATGTCGGAGAGCATCAATGCGCGACTGCCATAGGGGACGTTGCTCCTGCCCGAGGGGTGAGGCCTCCGATCACCGTGGGTGAGGCCAGGACATTGAAGTTTGCAATGGCCAGAATCCAGGAGGGGGGGAGACTCAGGCAGTTTGGGGGGGGCAGAGCTGACGGGAACAGCCACGGGTGGAGGGGGTGCTGGGGCTGCTTTCACCAGCAGCGGAGGGGCTGCTGATTCTGAGGCCATAAAAAAGGCGGTCAGGGCGTTGGAGGGGCAAAGCCCACGCCTTGCTTGGGGGAAGATGGGCCAGCCAAGCCTCAGCTTCCATGGCCGGGGTGAGAGACGGAGGCCCGGGATGGAAGGATGCAAGCGAACTGGGAGTGCATAAGTGCTGCTTGGTGGGTTTTCTGGCTCCACTGGGGTGTTGCCAACATTATGGCGATTCTGCCATGATGCCGCCAGCCGTGGGAAAAGTCACGTGGTAGCCCTTCCTTTGACAGAAACGGCAGCCCAGGTGATTTGGTTTCTCCTCATCATTTCCAGATTGTAAGGCCTCTGAGGATCAGCTCCAAGACGTCTTGCTCGGAAAGGTCGCCTCGATAATAGGACGACTCTGACACAATGGCCATGATCCTGGCGAAGGAGTTGGCCTGTATACTGCAATTGGGCTGTGCCCCGGCGTTGCCGAAGCCGTGACTTCCGCCACAGCAGCAGGTAAGTGTGCCAGAATCTGCGCGTTGTGGTGCGAGTTCTGGTGTCCGGATCGTCGGGGAAGCCCTTGCGCCAGCCCCAGCATCTCGTGTAGGCAACCAGCGTGTCCCTCGCCGTAACGAAATGGTGCCCTTCATTCGGAGGGCTGCCGTGTTTGCTGTGCCGGCTGGAGTGCTTTTCCTGGAACAGGTAAACTGGGCCATACGTGGTGGAGAGATTCCACCCGACGTGGGCGAGTGTCGCCCAGAGGTACTTGCAGAAGATCATGTACTCCAAGTTGGCAACAGCAGTCCTGACGCGACCGCCGAAAGCATGCTGGATTGCCATCTTCATGAGAGGGTGGCCAGGCTTGCCATAGATGATGCCCTGGAAGATGTGGTTTTGTTTGAGTCCAATGGCCATCACCATGAACTCGGAGGGAAGTGTCCCCGCTACTGTCGGGTTGTACCCCAGCGCGTGGGCCGCGCTTACTTGGGCTGTGCCCCACTCCGCTGCAATTAGACCCAATACCTCTGTCCACGGCCGGACAAAGGTGCACTTGATGTCCAGGTACATCCCACCATGTTGGTAGTGATAGACATACCGAAAACGTCTGCACGATGAGCAGGAGACTTCAGCCCGTCCAAGAGCTGAAGTCCATAGCTACCGGCCCAGGAGGAGATTGTGCTGCGGAGGAAAGCATCATCGCAGAAAGTGCGCTGCATCTCCGAGAACCGCGATGCGCACATCTCCCTAGGCTCAACGGTGTCATCGTGGATGTAGGTCTGAAAGATGCGGTTTGGGATTGGGGCATTGGCCAGCCCTGAAATGTAGACGTGCCGCATACTCCAAGGAGCCTGTGAATAATGGGCAGCCGTCTCGGCTAGCTCCCTCATGTGCCGGCACTGCGCCGCTGCCCGACTTGCCATCATCTCCGTGCAGATGTCCGCTTGTCGGCCATTCCAGTTTGCAACCACCAAAATGGGAAGAGCGTTGGGGCACTCCTTCCTCATAGCACTGATGGCCCTGGCTACCAGGGCTCCAATAGCCACTTCAGCCACTTGAGGCCGGAAGTGGCAATCTCGCGTAGTGTAGAGCTGGTCGATGTTCGGCAGGTTCTCCAGCTGCATGATCTCATGACCGTAGAGGTTCTGAGCCGCGAATCCATACTGTACCCTGCCTTCGGCCAGAAAATCGTAGCCTCGTTGCTTCTGGGGTATAAGGCTTTGCTCGATTGGAATGAACCGAACATGCAGGGCTGAATCAGCGTGAGCCCGCAGCATAGCGATCAATGCAATGGGGCCACAAAGTTCTTGGTGCCCATCGTCTGCCCAAACTTCCAGTGCAGCAGCTCCAGCATGGAAGGCACCTTGGAGCTGCTCAGTGCCACGGCTGCCCCCGGGCAGCTACGGACGAATCCATCAAAAATCGGGTAGATGCCATAGGAGTGCCCGTGCAAAAGGTATTGGAGAGTGCTGTCGCTCAGGACCAGGAAAGGCCGTGGCCATGGTACCCAGACAGCGACTGTGTGTCGCACTTTGCTGGGCTGTGCCCCCGACCAATCAGTACCACAGATACAACTCAAGGCTGAACTGCAAGTAAACAAGCTTGTGCTTCCTGACATGCAAACTGTAGGAAGGCACTGATCGAAGGTTCCTTGATGCACGTGAAGGCACATATCGGACCCTCATCTAAAAGTTGTGCAACGCAAGACAGATCAGGATCGACCTGTAGCTGAGTCAGAGGTCTCTCTCTGTCCGGCACTAGTTCTGGCGCACTGTGGCGTGATCTTCCCGACCATCGTGCGAGTTGCCGAATCAAGCCAGCGAGAATGCGCCTCCCAAGGATAGACGAACCGACGTGCGCTACCCATGATGCAAAAATTGACGCACGGACAGACGTCGATCATTGCTCTTTGGGGCCTAGTTTCCCGGCAGACTGGCACTCGCGCAAAACGCTGTTGCTGAGAAGCGCCATGAGTGGGCCAACTGTGGAACAAGCAAAGAATGCTCAAGTATTACAAAGCAGGCTTTGCCTGTGTCTGCGGGCTGTGCCCTTTCCTGCTTCAGCCGAGGCATGGAGGAAGAATCGCTTGGATTTTGAGGTTGCCATGTGGGGGCAGCCTGAAACGCAAAGCCATCAGCCTATCTCGGAGTCCTGCTGTGAAAAGATCCCATCTACCTGCACTGTATAAGCAGTAAGAACTATGCGATCGAAGTATTTGCAGGACTGATTGGCGTGCCAATTGGTGCGCATGGGCAGCATCAAGACCTGACCTTGCGCAGAGTACAGTACTCCAGCACGCATCCTTGACGATCCCGGAATCTCTTGATATACGTCTCCCGCAGTTCGAGCCAGATCAGTCCTCCGGTGTTATAGGACATCTGCAGGATGAAGCCGTAGTCCGCGCCATGGCCGTCCTCCTTGTGTAGTTTTTGCGTACCGGCGTTGCAGTGTACACTCAATGAGGTCCACGTATGCTCCGGAGAGCAGACTGCTACCATGTAGTTCAAAAGCCTTGTGGCATGCTGAAGAGAAACAGTGTCCTTGAAGAGGCCAGGAGTCGCCCTAACATGGGCTCCAAGCCGGCATATCTGCGCTGGCTTCTTCTCTGCCTGTTGGTGAGGTTGCCTTTCAAATATCAAAGGGCAGCTCCGCAACGACCTGCCTCACAGCACCCCAGAGCGACAGCGGTACCGCGTCGGATATCGATGTTAAGAAGGCATGCGCCCTGACCTCCGAGACACTGGCATTCCGGGGTCCGGGGTAGAATCGACGTGCTCAGCAGATCAGGTTGACAGGCGTGCAGAATTGCGCCCGAAGAGGCGGAGGGGAGAATGCCAGATCTTGCCTCATCCAGCTGTGCCAGAAATTCGAGAAAGAATGATTTGCCCGGGTCAGGTAGTACCTCCAAGGCCCATCCAACAACGTCGTTCTTCGGGTACATACTGATGGCTGGTGGAAGGGTAATGTCGTAGACGGCGCAGGCACGAATCACAAAGTCCAGTTGCAACGAGCCCTCGTAATAGTCGAGAAAGATTTCCGTGGGGAGCTCAAGAATGCGAGCAGCCATGCTATCGTGAGAGGTATGAAAGGCCTTACCTGCTTGCTGGAGCCCAGGTCAAGAAAGCCTTCCCTATACCGCAGTGAAAGCACACATGGAAACAGGCAGCAAGGGCCTGTGCTGGCACGGCTATCTCGCCAGTCTCTATTACTGCAGCTTACGCGTGCTTGATCCGTACTCGAGTGGAAAACAGATGAGTAAAAATCTAGATTTAACAAGTCTGGTGCCGTCGCATGGCGTGCGCGGACCAGATGCAGCTTTTGCTTGCTGAGTGGTCTAAGTGGCTGTGCCTCCGACCATAAGGCTGTGCCGCTGTGCCTCGCGACCTATAGAAGGCAGCGTTAGCCAGTGCAGAGCTACGATCCTAGTTGACCCCTGCGTCCTCCCAGCACTGTCCTCAGGATCAGCCCATATGCCACGAGGCGGGGATCGCGAGTGGGGGTGCCTGGAGACCCGTCTGATGGAGTCGAGGACGCAGCAACTCCAGACGAGTCCACCGGTGGGATGTTCCGGGAGTTCTCAGGTAGAATTTGGCGAAGGCCGCGGACTTCTCCCAGCGTTGGGGGCCCTGCTGCGTGATAACGGTTCCTCGCATGGTCCACAAGCCCGCCTGGGCAACAATCTTGACGTCCACCGTCGAAGCCATCCAGCTTCCATGAGCGTGGCCCAGCAGGCTGTGCCTCATGTGCTGCCTGAACCCACGTGTAGGTCTATGAAGATCACCACCTCTGCCAGGAGAGCCATATCCCTGACTGAGCGGATAGATGCTTTCGCCTGCGGAGCCACCCATGTCGATGAGCACATATGAGGCTGGCTGGACCCTGACTATCGCATTAGCGAGGTGCACGTCGGCGTGGACAATGTTGAGGGTGTGAATGAGTTGGAGAGCCGCGCTGACATCTGCCGTGAAACGCAGAACGTGGTCATGGGTCATATGTGGTACCTGCGCTGGGTGTAGCTTGATCATCAGGGCGCGGGGCGGCACGAATGCCTCGACACTGTGAACCACTGCTAGCTTCGGGAGCTGTTGGAGACGCAAAACCTCCCTGGCAATGTGATGAGCCTCGCTAGATCGACTGGGTCTCTTGAGCACGAAGTGCGAGAAGCCCTCGACCTGGTACACCAGCGAGGCAGCTCCTTTGCCGACCATCTGACCCAAGCCAGCCTGGAGCCCGCGCCCTATTTCATGTGCACGGGCGGAGCTGCGGGTTGCTGGGCTCCGCCAAGCTGGCGTGCGCGCCAGGAGTGACCATGACGCCAGGGCTGTGCCCCTCCAGTTAGGCTGTGCCTCTGGCAGTGTTATAGGGGCTAGATGCTGCTCTTGAGAAAAGCAACTCAACCTCAACAAGCAAGTCCCTACCTAGCAAGTTCGACCGCTAATTACCAATACAGCCGGACTCTTTTTCGACGATGCAACAAAGAGTGGAACGATAAGTGGGGGGCAGCGACCTAACAAAGCCAGCCTCCTACTCAGAAGTGATACTAGTGGATCAACTCATCCGCGTTGGGATGTTCCTTGCTCATCTTCGAGTTGCCCCCAGTGACGCGCCGCTGCTTTGGAGCTGGAGGTGCCGGTGGGGCGGTGCGACCAGAAGGCAGCTTATCTGCTCTAGAGTCCCAGACAACCGCACGCTCTTGCTCCGTCGTGGCTTCAGCTTTGCGCTTTTGTGCGCCATCCACGATCTTGGCCATGGCCAGGAATTCCGACCAGTATCAGGCGGCAAAGAATCAGTTTGGCCCACACGATACCATCTATCTCACTGTGGGCATGAAGCTTGCCCAGTTTCTTTTCTACACGTGCTATGTCGGAGTTGGAACCCCGGGTGTTTATCAGCCACACGAAGTCATGGTATTGAAGCCAAATGACCGACTGCGTCCACGACATTGGCGTAGCCCATCTGCAGATCCAGAGCTGTCGGAAGTCCACGTAAAGGATGAGCAGTTTCCAACGGATGCTGCGCTACCAATTCACCCCGAGTGGTTCTCACACAACATTCGCTTGATGGAGACACCCATGTACCAGGAACTTGCTTCAGAAACGATGCACGCTTTCCTGGAAGACCATCAGTCTTTCGTGCGTAGGGCCACGTTCTTCGTCATGTTTCTGACGCAGGTGGAGAGTTCCCTGAAACAACACTTAGACGTTGTTACCGTGGCACAGCAGAAATTGATGGCGCTTGTGGCTGCGTTGGCCTGTACATTCCTTTTGATCTGGAAACGGTTCGAGAAGCCCGTGACGGACTTCGTTGAGGGCGTCATGTCGGAAGCAGCTAATTCAACGATGGCTGCTTTGGCCTTCTTTGCTTGAGCTAGAGAGCCCTTAAAAGGGGCTTTGCAGCGTTTTTCCCACCCTCTTTCCGGGAAGACGAAGCGAAAAACGGTAACACATGTGGTTGCAGGTGAGTGATGTCGTCTGTTCTTGCGCTGTAGCACCTGAGAGAGCCATGGCAGGCAGCACTTTCCAGCTGTTTTCCATCGCTGACCGCGTTCCCCGCATGTAAGTTTGATGTGTCTGAGTTAGCACGCAGCTTGTCGTCATATCGCAGCTGCGGATCAAAGAGTGTAGTGTTGCATCGCAACGCATCGTAGTTGCCTTTTGACACAGGTCAGGGGTACTCTGCAATGGCCAATTCGGAGGAGGTCAGCAGTGTCGAGCTGTCCATCTCGGAGGAGGTCAGCAATGTCGAGCTGTTGCTGACCCGCGACGCCCTGCCTTCAATGGTTGCTGTGGCGTTGGAAGCATCGAAGGTCAAAGGGCAGCGGCCTCATTTATTTGTTGTGAGAGGCGGTACTGTCAGGGAACAGCTTTTGAGCGTCGAAGAAGACCAAGCAATGCTGGCGCGCACATCTTTTTGGAACTACTAAAAGGTGACACGGCCATCAGCGCTTCAAGAAAGTACTTGTAGGACTTTTGGCACAAGGCGGCTCTGATTGAGACCCTTGCAGCTGTCAGCAGCATGAGGCATCGGGCCAATCAGGCTGGTAATGACATTTCCCAGATTGTTGTTGGGTGAGAGGATAAACCACCAACGCCAGTATCAGGCGGCAAAGAATCAGTTTGGCCCACACGATACCATCTATCTCACTGTG